GTCCCTTCCAACTCTGCTATTGTATTGTATTGTATTGTATTGTATTGTATTGTATTGTATTGTATTGTATTTTGCTGCATTACAAACTTTAGCCAATTTATATCTGGAAGTATCTTAACACAATGCAATAAGTTAAACAAGCTTAAACAATAAAAACTATTATTCAATTCTTTACCAATCTTTAATCAACATTTATACAGGTAGTCCTCACTTACAAGACAAAATGGCAATTCAGGTGCCAAATGGTATGGTAGTTAAGACTGATACCATGTGAAGTCAATTCAAGGGGTCAGTTCCAGGTGTGGTCATTAAGTGAATCATTGCAAGTTGCTAAGTGTAACATTACAACTGTAAGGAGCACCTTCCTTTAAACTTCCCGTTGATTTTGCTTGCCAAACGTCAGCTGAGAATGTCACAACGGAAATCATGTAGCCATGGGATACTGTGACTGTCATAAATGTGAACTAGCTGCCAAGGGCCCAAATCACAGTCATGTGAGCACAGGGATGAGATAGCCACAACTTCAAACATCAGGCTTGTTTTTCAGTGGCAATGTATATTACCTTCAAATAATCCCTGAATAAGTAGACAGCAAGTGAGGACTACCAGTAATCTGTCATTATGTGATTTTTTTTTTAAAATAACACGTGTATGCTGTTTCTTATTATAAAATTATATCAAACGGAATCTCACCAGCATATATATTTTATTGTTTCTTAATCCCCTAAATGACTTAAGTCATAGTGAGTCATAGTTATATTAGCAATGCATCCACTGCTTGGCTGATAGTTGGTTCATCTATGTTTTCTTTGCAATAGGAAGGAAGTGGTTTGCTTCTACATTCTTTCAGAATGCTTTTTCAACTTTCCTGATTAAAGTTAAATATTTCTTCCAATTCCTGCTTCATTACAGAATTAGAAGAAATAAAATCTACCAAAAGTTATATTTGTAAGCTAGCATTTACACTTTTTTCCAAACAGCAGGCAACAAGTCAACTACTTTGAAAAAAAACTTCAAAAAATTGGTGAGAGATGGATGACAATGGCCCTCCACAACACCAATATCGAAATCTAAGATTCCTTACAAAAATAAAACAATTTATTTGAAACTATTTGATAGTGTAGATCCGGGATGGCGAACCTATGGCACGTCTGCCACAAATGGCATGAGCCATTTGTCAGGGCACGCGAGGCGTTGCCCTGTCAGCTGGCCAGCGCGCAGCTGGGTTCAGCCTTTTTTAAAGCCATTTTTCACTCTCCCCGGGCTCCAGAGGATTTATAGGAGCCTGGGGAAGGCGAAAACAGCCTCCCCCCCCCCAGGCCCTCCAGAGGCTTCAGGAGCTTCCCTGAAACCTCCGGAGCGCAAAAAACAGCCCTACGGGCAAACCGGAAGTGACTTCTGGTATGTCCATTGGGTCATTTTTCATTCTCCAGAACCTTCAGGGAAGCCTCTGGAAGGTCCCTGAAGGTTCTGGAGGGCTTAAACCGGCCCTATGAGCAAACCGGAAGTCCATTCCTGAATTTCTGGTTTGCCCGTAGGGCCGGTTTTTTGTGCTCCAGAGGCTTCAGGGAAGCTCCCCCGCTTATGGCACGCGAGCCAAAAAAGGTTCACCATCGCTGGTATAGATATTAAACTATTTAAAGCCCATCAGGAACCTATCCAAACAAAGATACTCAGGAATTTTCATTCATCCCATCACTTTTTACCAGTAGTGGTAAGCAACTCTATAATTCTATTTCTTATAATTAGTATGATACAAGTGTCTTTTTAAAAGTTACAATGATCCCCAGACAGAAACAATTTGTTACAGACATATACTCATTTTTATCTTCTGTGGTAAAGAATGAACAAATTCCTTGAATTGCTTTGAAAATATAATAAAATCAAGAATTTTAACTCAATTCATTTAAGACTGCTTAACTATCGGTATAGGTTCCTCTGATAAACTCTAACAATATGAGTACCTGCAGTTAGAACTGCAGAATAAAAAGTGTAGGGAATGCAAATCAAAATGCTGAAAGAGAAAGCACAATTATCAAAAGTGTTTATTTCTTAGTCCTATTATGAAAACCTCCAATTTCTAGACAGGTGAGGAGCTCCTGAATTTCACAAATATTAAGCAGCGTCGGATAGGTACCCTTCCAGAACGAATTTAAATCTGACCTCATCCCAGCGTCATCAAAAATAACTAGGAGCATCCAATGGCATCTCACATTCATCATGGCTGAGCAAAAAGATTCATTTTGCATGCAACCCTCCACACACTGTTATCCACACCAGGCAAGTGTAATCTCACCAAAGCTTCCCACGCCTACAAACTTCATCAGCAACGTTAAGAAAGCTTTTCACACACTGTTGCCACGAGACACAGGGCAGAAATGGGAAAAGAAAGAAAAAAAAGGAAGAGGGAAAAAACCCGGGATCGACCCAAGAACTTCACCTTCCCGGGGGAGTAGTATGCAAGTATGCGGCTATCAGAACGAGAGAATTAGCAATCCCATTTTATTTAAGTTAAATGCTGCACGCTATATATGACATTGTTCCGATAGTGGAATGTCACTCCATTTGCTTTTGCTTTTGAATTAGAAGGAAAGCTGACCGCACTCGGGCTTCAGAATACAGGTTTGCACCTCGGAGAAGCCGCATGTGAGACCTGCCTGCATTCTCCTTGGGTCTCCCGCACATGCTTCCCCATCGCCCGACGAAAATACTCCTGTTGCTACCCCCAAGTTTCCGCGCGCAGCTTTTGCAACCGGCCGGCCTCGGCCTCGCGGGCCACGCCCTTCCCGAGCCTCCCCATCCCCGGGGCGGCTTCCCCTACAACTCCGCACCCCCAAAACCCTCCCCGCGGCTCCGCGCCCTCCCTTCCCCACGGCACTGCAGCAACCTCCCTCTTTCTCTGCCGCCTTCAGCGGCGCGACCGCGCAGGTCTGCCACTCCGGGTGCCTCACCGCCCCATCCGCGCCGCAAGAGGCGACATAAAAATCTCCTTAACGACCGCGGGCCGACGCCACAGGCCCCGGCGCCGACGCCGCTCCTTCTCGGGGCCCGCGCCCACCTTCGGCCCCGGTTGAGGAGGGCGGGCCCCTCCACTCAAGCTCCCCCGCGGCATCGCTTCCACCCATTCATCGGTTTGCTGCCGTCCTCTGCCTCCCCTCCCCCTTCCCCGGCTCACCATCGCTGCGCTTGATCTCCACGTAGATCCCTATCTGGATCTTGCCGAAGTTGGCCGTTGCCATCGCGTCATCGAGTGAAAGGGAGGGGGAGACACCGAAGATGAGGCGGCGAAGCGGGGGACGCCCGGCTGAAGAAAAAGGAGAAGCGGGAGAGGCGGCGGCGGCGGCGGCGGCCACAGCAGTTTCTACGGGAAAAGGGGAGGGGGAAGGAAGGAGGAGGAGGAGAAAAAGGCGCCGGCCGGATACAACAGTCGCCGGGAGCCGCTGCCGCTGCGCACACAATGGAGGCGTCACGGCAGGATCGGTTGAAGGAGTGGGAGGAGCAGAGGCGGGCGGCGGGCTTTCAGAGTTTGGCGTGGGGCGCCGCGGAGGCCGCCGCCGTCCGCCCGCCGGCTTCCAGGCGCTTCCTCGGCGGCGCTTTCTGTGGTGGCTACGGCGCCGCCGCGCTGAGCGGGAGGGGGACGGGCTCTGCTCTCCGCCTCCTGAACTCCAGCCCCCGGCTTCGCTTCCTCGGCGGCAGCGTGCTGAGGTTTACGAGGGAGTCTATTCGACCAGGTGCATTTGGGGCCTTGGTCCTTCGAGCGGACTCCCGGGTGGCGGAGTTGAGGTTACTGTATTTCTCCCAGTTTTGCAGAGGAGGCCGCGAGAGTGAGGGGAGCCGGACGGGCAGAAGCCCGATCGGAAGGCGGGTTCAGTTCTCGTTCTGTCCGTTGTTACCTCGTGTGGGATTTTGATGCCTTGAATGAAAAAGAAGCCTCTTCATTGAGGCATTGTCACCCCAACTCTTACTTAGACTTACTTGTCATTCCTCCAAAGGGTCGTGTATCAAGTTGAATCTATCTACTATATTTAAGATGCTGCAACCTCACCCTACCTGCCCTCTTAATAGCATAAGCCTGTTACCTTCCCAGTAGTTACATCAGTTTGTTTTGAGGCTAGTTCTGGGCTGAACCTGATCTAGAACCGCTTCTATAGCTGCTGTTACAACTTTTAAACTGTGTGCTTGATATGTCTGATCCCTCACATTTTCTCAAGTCATTTTTATTGCCTCTAGCCATCAGAAGAATATAGTTGGTGTATTGAGTTAGCCCTAGGCTTTGTATGGAAAACTGAAATGTTTGTAGGTTTTTTTCCCCTTTTGGTTAAAATTGTTGGGTTTTTTTAAATAAAAAAAATCTATGGGGGAATGGTCAGGGT